ATTGCTCTATGTTCTCAAGAGGATCTCCTCTTGGAGAAACCTTCTTTAAATATAATGTGTTTTGACTTCAAGACCACCGCATATGGCTAGAAAGAGGACATAGTGTAAGGGAGAACCTATGGAAACACCCAGGAGTCTGAGGACTGAAGAAGGTCAGGTTAGGTCAGGCAGGATGAATGCAGCCAGGGTGGAGCACTCATCATTTAAAACACCCAAACTGAAAACAGAAACCTCGCATGGCCTTATCAGTACGTGAACATTTAGTATTTGTTACCCATGGCATCCAAATCTTTCAAGAAAGTTTCATAGCTTCATTGTATGTGATGCATCAACATGGAACGCTCAGGCACTTCTCTAGGCACCTCACTGCTATATTCAACACAGATTTTTACTCACAACCTACCTTCAGTTTTAGGTACCCACACCCCTTAAGTACCTGGTTTACATTTCTTACAACAACTGAGTTAAGGCAGAGTGTGGCTAACAAGGGGGAAGGGGAAAACTCTGAGACTAAGCTTGTGTTTGCTGTTGAATGGTGCTCTGGTACATCTGTGTGGAAACCCTGACCTCGCAGAGATGTCAGGTAATAGAAGGAGCACTAAAATGTCCTGTGCTATGTCCTGCCAGGACAGCAAAGATAAGAGGATAAGAGGATTTTCTTATGTTTAGTACATGGCCTCCACTGTGTGATGCCTGTCTTGAAGTACTCGGGGTCCCTCACACAAAGATGCCACCTACCTTGTGTCTAGCAAGCAGCACTGCTAGAGACCTACAACTGGTGGCTGGATTTGGGAAGAGATACAGACACTTGGCTTCTAGACCCCAAGGTGTTCAGGAGGGAAGGGGGAAGGACATTTGTTTATTTCAGAGGCGCAGTATCATCTCCATTAATATTCTTGATGACTTAAACCTGGACCTGAAGTCCCGCAGCCCTTCCCGTCATTTACTTGCTCTTGGCCTTCACGAATGCTTTCTGCTGAGGATGTCCCAGTTTTGAATCTGTGTTATTTCTTCTTTGTGCAGGTGACCTTGCAAACGGGACTGGAGGTGCCACAATGTGTAAAACAGCCCAAGTTGCCCAACAACTAATGAAGCCCCTGCCCGACCCCGTGCTGGATTCTGTAAGCTTTCTCAGTGTGATTTGGCACTTTTCAGTAAGTCAGCAAAAAAAGCATTCTCTTCCCTGACTTAAAGCATTGTATGGCACGTTGCTCACTGAATAATCCACGGGTTACAGCTAGCCCACTCAATTTTTAATTTAACAGCCATAGCAAGCACACCCACTGAACTGGCACTCAATTGCAGATGGGTACCTGAACATATCTACACTGCATTGCATACATATGTACACACACATGCACACACACAGACACACATGTACATTTATAAAGCAAAAAGGTTAAATGAGTGTATTTTCTCTCTCATGGCCGGATTTGTGCTTAGAAGATATTACAGATGCTGGAAAAGAATGGGTAAGACTAAAACTGAGGGACAACGGCTGTTGGAGCAATTTACCAGTGGGTGAACTGGATTCCCTTGCCACCTGAAGTCCTTAAATCAAGAAAGCATATGTTTTGACAGCTGAAGTGGAGGCTGCGTGCTCAAGAATTCCTGGTTGCCCATTACATTCAGGGGCTCAAATGACCATTAATTATTCCTTCTGGCTCTATACTGCAGTAAGCTACGGGATAATGTTCCCCTAGAATTCAGTGGTAGAACTTATCTCATTATCTTCAGTGAGATTTAGATTGGTTTCCGAACACTGCTATGTAATAGTTGCACTATTTTAGCTAACACCATGACACATGCAGAATTCAGATACGAAAATTTGAGAGAAAAACATCCTTGATACATTTTAGTGTTTGTTATTTTGGTGTGATTGTGGAGACTATCATACAAAAGATCTGCTTGTGTTTATCAGCACAACTCTTGAAAAACAGTGCAGGGGAGATCCCTTAGAATTGAATTGATAAGAGATTTATTTAAATACGGCACATTCACACGTACAGAAATGCTGCTTTCCAGCCTTGATCCTGATGAGCCCTGGGCAGCTGTAGTTCCAATGTAGCTTTGAGATCAGAAGCCTTAATTTTCTACTAGATTAGTGTGAGCTAATTAACGTCTTGATCCTAATGAAGCACTTGAGTGGGAGATATTCACATCATTAATGCGAAATCCATCCCTAAGAATTTTTCTGGATTGACACACAAATCTTTTGCAAGGCTTACCTGTGTCTGGCATCTCCCGTGAAAACAAGCAGCCATTTCAGGTGCCGCCGTGACAACCGGAGTCTGACTGACGGGGAACTTTTCCCACAGCCGTGGCACTGTCACCTGCATGCTGTTGTCAGAAAACACATTGATTTGTGTGTGTGCTTCATTTCCCCTGAAAGCAGTTAACATATGCAAATGTGTGTGTGTGTATAGCGGCAATGCGTAAGGACAAGATGCAGCAGACTGTGTGAGCCCACGACATTTCAGACTCTGTCACTCTAATACTATGTAAGTGTGGTGCTATCAAACAAGAAAAGCATAAACTCTTAAATCCCATCAATGTTCTATTTCCTTTTTTTAAATCCTGCTGCTTATACAAATTTTCCTCTCCAAGCATACGTATACGCACACGCATACTGTTATCAGACGTGTAATTATTAAACCTGAAAACAAATATTCTGACCAAGATCCAGCTTACTGCCTGGCATTAAACCACAGCCACAGGACAAAGAGCCCAGGCCCACCTTCGGGCATCCTGCCGCAGGTCCGCTTCTGCTCTCTGGCTGGAGCCCATCACTCAGGCGGCACTGAGCCATGGCAAGGCGTCCCTGTGGCAGAGCGGCCGGGATCCTCCCCGGGATCATCCCACCTCACAGCCCTTGTGGGGAGGGGGAGGCAGCCCAGAATGAAACAGTCCCGGGCTATTGCACAGCAAAAAGCAGGCTGCTGTCACGCTGCTTGTAACCAACCAAGCATCCTATAGCTCACCTTGCCTGCAGAACAGCCGTGCGCCTCCAGTGATGTCAAAACTGAAATAGGAAACAAAACCAACAACGGGGAAAAAAATAATGTAAGTGTGTAAGTGGGAAAACGGCAGTACTTTCTTCAAAGTCTGGAATGGATTGTATTAGTAAACTTGCAGACATTGCAATAACTGTGCTATGCTCTTTTTGGTTTCTTAAAGAATAGCAGAGACCAACTGTGTCATAATTTTTGATTTCATTTAATACCATGTGAACTCGTGCAGGATTTTCTAATTAGTGGGTCTGTTTTAACCTACCTCAGCTAGAATGCTACCAGACCCCAAATTTCCTCTTGAGTGTGCTCATTGTAAAGTTGTCGTCTACAAACCTAACAGTTGTAATCATAGCATTGGCTTTGAGTATTGCCGGTCAGAGCAGTGTATGGGAATACTGTACATAAGTTGCACATTGTTTTTTATATTGGGAAACATCCCGTGATAATTTTAATACAGAAGGCGCTCCACTTTCACTTTTCCTATTAAAAACAAAAGGACATTGTTTGTTTTGAGACTGAACCTTTGTCTTTACTCCTGACTTCTGTGAAGGAAATGCAAATGAATTTATATCTTTCCAATCTTCAACCATTGCCAAATGTTTTAAATTAATTCTGAATGGGTTTTAGAAATGTTTGCGGTACTCAGTTTTGGTTTTCATAGTTGCTTTGGTATCAGTTCCTGGTGTGTTATACCTTGGGGAGAAGGCAGTCAGGGATACAGGTTACTAATTTCTAGTGGAAATACGGACGGTAGGTAGCGACATGCTTCAGAACCGTAGAGAAGCTCATTTGTTATCCATTCATAAAAGTAGGGTACAGACTAGCTACCATTACAGTCTCCTATTAACCCAATGGAAATGCAAATAAAATAAAAGGAATACAGTTAGAAGTAGGTATCCTGCATTAGTAAGACTAATTTAGCCTAGCTCTAAACCTAAACAAAGTGGGCGTATGTGTTAGTTACGTACACGTTCGAGGACTTGGACTTGGCATGGCCCATAGCAATAAACCAGGTTACCCCAATAGAGCATCTCATGACTTCAGCTGGATACAGTTTGGTAGTTGGTTAACAGAAATAATGCTTAAGTAGTTAGAATTACGCCAGGAAACCAAGTACTCCACACATGAATATTTATGCAGAGCATATAGATGGCAGTAGTCATCTGAACATAGGCAGGGCACAATTTTCCCTTTGGAGAACAGAATCAGGTGGGGAGAAGTGGGGCACTTCCACCTCTCTGCTTGAGCTAGAAGTAGTTTGTTTCTCTGCAGGTAACTCCCCCGAGGTCCGTCTCGTTATGAACCCAGCAGTTCACATGTTCTTCATCCACAGCACCTCTTATGCCAGTTTTTGTTTCCTCCAAATCCCTTCTTTAGGAGGGAGCCAGCCTTTAGTAGTTTGGTCCTTGCAGAAACTGTTGCTGACCACCCAGGGAGAACCCAGGGAGCTGAGGAGTAGCATAAATACCAAAGGGGACCACTCTGGATGTTTCTTGCTTTCTTTTGATTCCTGGGGGTATTGGTGCAGCTCTCTGGGACTCCGAGATCCTCCAGCACCTGCACTCGCACAGAGCTGCCTTTCGTGGGGCTCTTCTGCTCCTAGAGGCCAGGCTGTTCCTTCTAAGCAGGAGAGAAAAGCCTTTTGCACTGGGATTAATCTCATCCACGATGGTGCAGAGTCCACACAAGGTAGCTATAAATTGACTAAATGTTTCAAAACCCCCAAGCCCTCTCCTCTAATAAACATAAGGAAGCTTGACTTCTGCATCCACCAATTTGAAACATCTGCACAGCTGCTAAATACAGGAAGCAAACTTTGTCCTGCAGAGCAACAAGGAACTCTTGAACCCTAACCTTATCCTTTGTGAACCTTCTTCCTGGCTCTTTCCTCTGTAAGTTTCCCTGTTAGGCTTAGTGGGACCAAACAGAAGCAGTATGCCATGAGGAGCACTGTCAGACTTCCCATGGCATGCAACCCTACACAATTTCCACTCCCTTCTTTTCCCTCAGCAACTCAGAAAGAGCTCACTTGAAGACCTCTTACTAAGACTTGATATCAATATGAGCACAGGCCTAGTTGACGATCCCTTACTACTTCTGCTGTGGAAAGGTACGCGCCATAAAATAAATGTCAGTGGGGACAGAAGCATACTGTGACGCATCATGAATTCGGAAAGTAATTTGGCTTCTAAAAACATAGAAAAGACAGGCAAACAGCATTGTAACCTCCCATACTTGCCTATACAGTTAAGACACATAGAGGAAAATATATTGGACTGAACAAAAGAAATAAAACAAAAAAAGCAAGAGCTAACATATATCAGAGTTTAAGAGGAAAAGTATTAAATGTAATTTATTATATGCATAATGTTCCATCGTGTTGTAAATAATACCATGGTAGTGTATTGCTGTAGTTTGTTCTTGGCTGGTGATAGACCTCTGTCGTAGTGCTGTGTAAGGCATTTGTTTGTTTTTTTCTTTTCCAAAGTCTAGTTAGTAACGATGGCAGAGAGCACCCAATACTCTAGTTTCTGAGTTGTTCTAGAGCAAGAAGAAATGTGAGACACAGGGGTTTTTTTTCTTTCTTTCTCACATAATAATATTTCTTAAACAAGGTAAGAGAGAGGAGATCAAGGATGAGCTGCCACTACCACCATATGAAAAACCCTGTGCTTGCAACTGCCAACAAGAGGTGGTGCCTTTTTTGGACCACAATTCAGATTACCCGGTCCTGTGAGAAGGGATGCAGAGTACCATCAACCTGGTAGCAGCAGCTTTCTGGTGCCATCTAGTACATCCTTTGCTCACAAACAGAAAGATGAGGAAAGAGAGTTGTTAGACCTAATCTCAGGCTCAGCAGCCTTGCAGCATTCTGCTTAAATAGCAAAGTCAAGAATTCAACTTTGAGCCAGGAAAGATAATATGAAAACCCCAAGCATCTTGGCTAGATCAACTTTGGAAGTCCTTCAACAGGTTACAGTAACAAATCAACCACATTGCAAATGTAAAGGGCACTTGTCACTGAACATTACCAAACAAAGATGAAGAGTCTTTTTATTATTATTTTTTAATTATTTT